GCGGTGTTGGTGTTAGTGCTGGTTCTGAAGTGAAGTATTGGTGACAACTGGCATGTCAGTCAGATGTGAAATTTCAAATTTGACTTCAGGAATCCGCTCGTTGTCACCGCTTCATCGACAGAATCGCCAGTGAGTTTGGGATGCCTTGCCGGACCTTCGAGGAACAGCAGCAGGTGTGGTCTGCCCTGAAAGATCTGCGCTCGTTTTGCTTCAAAGGTGCCTGTCCAAAGCCTTCGAGATGGAATGCGTGGATAGAAGCAGCTGAGGATGGAATGCGTGAACGGTGGGGCGCACGGATTATCTTGGAGTATTATCTGGATGGGCTTTCAGATCCAGATGACCCATTACTTGGACGGTTTAAAGACTTGAGGGCCAACAACGTCTCCGGTTTGCCGCTGGCCTGCCTGTCGCTGTCTCAGAGGAATTGGGAACAATGCAAGTTATTGCAGATCTTTGGCAAGCCATGCTGGTCTTGGTTCAAAGAGCAACCGATGGGGGGGGGTCTAATGGCCGCCCACAAACTACGAGCAGCATGAGACTGCATATCGAGTGTAGATTGAGTACTGGGAATGTTTTTTAGATAATAGATAAATTACTATTGTTTTTTTCCTTGGTTTTGATCTTTCGAGTGTGATTTTAGCGAATTTTCTTTTAATTCAATTAAATTTAAAAAACGCCAATCGAGTATTTTTTCTGGAAAACAGTGTTTTTTAAAGATAGTTTTTTGATTTCAAAAACAGAAATTGATGGTAAAGCACATTGAAATCATAGATCAAAAGACGCTGAAATGCGTTTGGGTAATTGAACTAATGACCCTTTTCAGACTACTGAAATTTCAAAGGAAACTTGTTATGATGAGCAAGTTTGTCTGTAGATCACAAGTCAAACTAATACCCTGTGGTAATTAGACCTATGGTTGTCTTGTTTTTTAATGAGGGAATGAATACATACTTTGGCAATTAAACTAGGAACTGGTTTTATTTTTGACGTCGGAGTCATCCGTGATTCATTTTTATATATATGCAGATTTGATCTACTCATAATTGAGCACTTTCTGAGTCAGGTGCGAGCCCTGGTCGAGTCCGAGAGTTAAGTTTGGGTTGTCAGAATTGAGCTGTGTTTGAGTTACATATGAAGTATCGTCGAAAGCATGTGAGGTATGCACAAAGCCATTTTGGCCCCGCCAAGGTACGTCATGAAATTTGAAATTATTTGTTTTTTTAGTTTGTTTTATCCATTATGTATGTGAACCAATGCAACATTTCAGATTCCGCACACAATAAAATAAAACAACAATAAAATAAAACACCAATACCTTTTTTGGAACATCTTGTCAAAATGAAATACATAATTATTTTATAGGCTGCTTAGCTAAGATGCAGCCGTTGCTCGTGTTCAGTCGTTCGGCCAATGGGAGATCATCGATTATGCAGTGCCTTCCGAACAGCAGCGTGAGCAGTGTTTATGGCTTGAAACATCAGTCGCCATGAAGCTATTTGACACGCAACGGGAGCGTAGCTGGGACAACGATCAAGTGAAATGTTTTCATCATTCATGTGTTTTCCAGATTACTTGCTGGAATATCATTGATCTACAATTGAATTAAATGTACATTTTGAGATCATTTGATTGATTCAGTTGGTGCTGCAGGTGATTTGCGTCCGAAACTTGCTGAGATTCGGGATCAAATCGGCGAAGCCCATAGACAAATTTGGATTGGGTATGACGTGCCCAGACAACGTCAGTTGCCAACTTCAAAACAGATGCTTTGTTAGTTACTAATTTACTTATCTTATTGAATAAGTCAAAACACAAACATAGGCTTTCCGACAATAGCAATGACTAAAGTCAGAACACTGGGGTGGCTCAGCCCAAACTCGTGTGGCACTCAAAGTTTACAGTGGGCACTACGAGTTAAACTCTGCTAGCACACCAATGCCCATGGCCACTGACTCAGGACATGGGTCTCCACGTCATGGATGACTGCAGCCTTTATTTGGGGTTTATCGAAAAGGAAGCGGTATATGTTGTACAGAAAAAAAAGCTATGACACATTCGTTACCCTCTGTGAGGGCGCAACTGGCACTGGATTGGATGTGTGGTATTATCGATTCTAAGATCTACTGCTTGATTGTTTATTGTTTTTTTTGTTTTGGCTGACATTGCGAAATTGCGACGGGTTGAACTATAGTTACCAACCATTTAGTAAGGCAAAACATGTTTTGCATCAGAGCGTTTTTGAGGACCGGATCGTGGACAACAATGCATCAGTCTTCAGGGGCCAAGCAGCGAACTCTTATTTGATCATTGTTTGTCAGATGAAATTTTGAAGAATGCATGGGCAGATGACGTCAATTCTGCTGTGAAACCTTGGGTGACCAGTCCAGTTGGTCAACCCAGACTGGCTGATATGATTGCATTCTTGTTGGATGTACCTTCTGATTCTGCACGATTGTCACGGCAAGAATTGGAGTTGAGAGACAAGAAGAACGACTACAGAAATATGGCACTCAGTTTTATTGCACAGGCGAGGATCCGCATTTTTTTAGTGTTTTTTTAATGTTACGAAAACATATTTGGTTATTTAGTCTAGTTCACTTGGCTCGATGAAACAAGCAGGGAACTGCTGGCTTAATCAATCATTTTAATGACTTGCTATTGAATTATTATAAATAAAACACAAATAAACCACCAGTGGGACCAGGTCGCTTTTGCATTCAACAAGCAGATCGGCAAGAACATATCCAGGGTGTATGACGAGAATTCCTTTAAGTTGACTTCTACCAGACTGCACAAAGCCAGGAAGATTTTGAGAAAGATGCAACGCTATCAAATGTGTCTCAGTCTTATACCCTACTATGTTTTCCTTTTTTCATTTAATATATATATATGTATATTTTTTCAATTTTTTATATGTCTATACAAATATAAGCAATATTATATGATTCTATGTTAGCTGAATGTTGGCCGAGTGTGGGCTGAGTGCTGCATGAATGCTGCATGAGTGCTGCCTGAGTGCTGCCTGAGTGTTGCTTGAGCGCTGGCTAAATATTGTTAGCAAATTATGTTTGATTGCACGGTTCTTGATGCACCTGTCATGGAAAAATATTAGTTTTTTTTTATCGTCTGACAATGAATTAATCGAATTTAGATTGTTTAGTATTAGTCTGATTAAGATGTGAATTAACATTCAATTTGTCAGATGATAAAAATAGTAATAAGTAAGTATTACAGGACCTTATTATTAATTATTGATTTATTGATTCATGACAGGGGGCATCAGCTAAATGTTGGCCGAATGTGGGCTGAGTGCTGCCTGAGTGGTCTGAGTGCTGCCTGAGTGCTGCTTAAGTACTGGCTAAGTATGATCTGCAAATTATTTTTGATTACAAGGTTCTTGATGCACCTGTCATGGAAAATAGTTTCATCACCTGAGAATGAATTAATCAGATATTGAGATAAATCATGTAATGTTGAGATGTGAATTGCAACATTATTCTAATCTAACATTTACATTGTCAGGTGATAAAAACTTATAAACAAATAAGTAATAAGTAAGTACTTATTAGTTATTAGATTCATGACAGGACGCATCTAGAATTTCGAATTGGTATTCTATTATTATTATTAATGAATACCGATACCAGTCATACAAGTTTTTTTTAAAACAAAACATGTTACAATGTATTGTTTCGAACGTGTTCCTTTTTGTCTCGCTGAGTTGGCCATTGACCTACGAATGTGTCAAGCTCATGCAGGATGGCACTGAGTCTTGGTTCTGACCTGATTTTGCCGCTACTGCACATTACATCATTCATTCATGTGATGACAACGTGTAAGTTGAAACCATCGAATCTTGAAATTAGATCTTGCTAAGTTTCCTGCAGACTATAGACTTTCACAACCAATAATTATGATAATGTGCAGTCCAGAACAATTAATTGCATATCCAAAGAACGATTCTGGGATAATGCGCTGGCTAATCTGCTGGGCTCTGACAAAACACACCGCAACAGAATCACTTTGTGCGCCCACTGGCATTGTGATGCTTGGATTCAAATATATATATGTCATTGCATTTTTTTCAACCATTGATGTAAATAATAATAAATAATAATATTTTGAGATGAATCACTCGGCTCACTGACTCAGGAAGTCTACCTGGCAAAAGCCCGAGATGAGTTTGAGGTGGAGAGACATTTGCAGGCTGCTAGTGACAGATAGTGGCAGGGGAGAAAATATTAATCAAACGAAACCTAGGCAGGATATCCCTGAAATCAAAAACAACATGAACATATGTCTACTTAGGGCTAACTCATAATGCACTCAACTCCCACTCAAGTGCCACTCAGTGGTCATCTTGCATCCACTTAAGCGTATTACGGTATTACAAAAAAAATGGGGCTTTGTAGATATTTTCTCGTTTTGGTTTTTCAAAATTAAGTTATTTTCAGAACTCGTCGCTTTGTATTTTCAGACTTTGTTACAAAAACCTTCATGACTTTTAAAACCATGCCACATGCGTTCTACTAGAATTCTCAGCTCAATTTTCCTTAGTTGTGGTATATGACACATTTTTCTTCTGACACACTTATTGTGGGACAGCTTTTCTGTTCTCTGCCTGGCGACGTCCGCAGAAGGAAATTTCTCGTATAGACGCCCGGCTAGATATTTTAACAAGTGTCATGACTATTTTCTTTTCTCGTTTTCTTTTGGCTCAATGGTTAAGATGCGCCGCTCCATTGTGGCTGTTTCGGCCGCGGTACTGGCTTGGCTCGGCCATTTTAGTGGCTGCTTCGGCCACGGGAGCAATGTCAAGCTTGGAAACCGGGGCCAAATTCAGATGGCGTAGTTCGGGCAAAAAATGGTGTAACATGTTCCTCGTCTCAGATGGCCAGCCAGAGCTAGGGTCATGGTTGGATGTGAAGCAGCAACCTTGGGGTGTTGGTTGTAAAGTGTGCAAGGAAACTGGGGTTTCCAATCCTTTCGCTTCTTATTCAATGACCAAGAAGGGCCAACTGCAGAACTGCAATTTGATGAAGCACCATAAAAGCAAGGCGCACAAGGCAGCGGTGAAGGAATGGTTGAAGGAAGGGGGCTGTGTTGGTCCTAGTCCCGATGCAGCCCTGGCATTGAGTCAGTTTCAAGAGCTGATGGAGTGCTTTGGCGAGAAAAGATCATTGACGCAAAAAGAGCTGCAAATGGCATGGTGTTTGGCAGAGGGGTTAAAAGCTTTGGACCAAACGTTCATTGCGAAATCTTCTCACATTTCTTTGATGCGGGATGAGCGGCATGGGCGGTTGGCCATACGATTCATGGCTGTGGCCCCAGACTTGACAACTCGAAGTGGCTTTTTAGGCCAAGCAAGGCAAGCTGGGAACAGGAGCTGCCAATGTCTCCTTAGCCACATGGGCAGTCATGAAGCGTGCTTGCTCTAGATTTTATATGGCTCCTCTTAGTCAGAATCCTGGGCGTTTGAAGAAAAATCTTTTTAAACACCTGCGGTCAAGAGTTGTGGCACTCGCTGCTGATGCAGCAGCAGATGAAATGGCAAGCTGTGAAATATTAAGGTCAGCACACTTGAGTTTGAATACAGAAGACAATCAGCCAATGCTGCCAAACTTGAGGTCAGAAGTGGACAATCGATTGAGGGTTGGACACTGCTCAGGAGCCACCTGGGTATTTCAACTCACCCAAGCTGCTGCGGCCGAGGCTTGAGATTAAGGGCGTAGTCAGGCTGCTTCGGCCTGCTCGTTGCCAGGCTGCTTCGGCCTGCCCGAAACTTTTTTTGAAAAAAGTGGTTGCTTCAGGCTTCAGCCACAGAAGCTTGGCTGCTTCGGCCAAATCGCCTGGCTGTTTCGGCCAGCAAGGGTTTCGAGAAGACAGACTGTCTCTTAGAAAATAGTGGCTGCTGTGGCCTTCTTGGGACCAGGTTGTGGAAGAGACTTTGAAACCACCAAAGAGTATTTGAATCCAAAAAGGGGAAAATATGTAACATGTTTACTGTTTACTATTCAAATGTCCTTTAACCTGGTAAGGGGGATATTTTCTTTTTTATGTCATAAGGGATTTTGACATATGTTTAAAAATCATCTTAAGAATTACAGGGATGTCACCTCTTAAGACTATAAGACCCTAATTCGGGGACATCCCCTAACCTCCTAAGACTCTAATACGGGGACGTCCCCTAACCTCCTAAGGGGTAATTCGGGGACATCCCCTAACCTCCTAAGACTCTAATTCGGGGACGTCCCCTAACCTCCTAAGGGGTAATTCGGGGACATCCCTTAACCTCCTAAGACTCTAATTCGGGGACGTCCCCTAACCTCCTAAGGGGTAATTCGGGGACATCCCTTAACCTCCTAAGACTCTAATTCGGGGACGTCCCCTAACCTCCTAAGGGATATAATCAAAAACCCTATCCTATGGAGAGGGCGATTTGCCCTCTCCAACCGAAGGTCGGGGACGTCCCCTAGCTGTGTAAGGAGAGGACGAATAGAGGACGAATGTGTAATACTACTAAGTGTTTCGGTTTTACAAGCTGTTGTCCTCTGTTTGTCCTCTCCAACCGAGCATCGGGGACGTCCCCTACCTGTGTAAGGAGAGGACGAAATGACCTCTCCTTACACAGCATGTTTAACCAAAAACCTGCTGTGTAAGGAGAGGTCGTCACAGGTCGTCATGTTGCCTGAGCTTGGCTGTTTCGGCCACCCTGGCTGCCTTGGGCCTTCGTCAGTGAGCTGTGTAAGAAGAGGGCTGTGAGAGGACTATTGAATAAAATTCCTTAGGGCAAAACAACCTTTTTCGAATAGTCCTCTCACAGCCCTCTCCTTACACACTTCGCTGCTGTCAGTCTAAGGAGAGAACTGTTAGTCCCCTCCTTAGAAGCCTCACTCAAGTCGTTTCTCGTTGTTTTCGGCTCACAAGCTTTTCCGTGTGTAAAAGCTGTTTCGGCTTAAACCGTGAAACGTTCCAAGCTGCCTCGGCCTGCAATCACAGGCTGTTTCGGCTTGGAATATAACCTCACAGACTGGTTCGGTCTTGGAGCCAGTTTGCTACCACAGTCCTATGAGCTCTGCGACGAGTCGATCCACGACTTTTCGCGAAGATCATCACCGATCTGACACCTCTGGACGGCCGCATGGCTTGGGCAGCCTTGCGAAATCGGGTATAGGGTATGTAGGAGTTGCCTTCAACCCAGAGCACCACCGGCTGCTTGCATTGCTTGAAAAAGAAATGACAAACCCTGAGTCCAGCTTGTTTTCGTCAGCTTACAGTGAAGCCGTCGGTGGCAGTGGGCAGGCACCTGTGAATCAGACCGCAAAACCAAAGGCAAAGGTAAAGGCAAAGGCCAAAGGCAAGGGAAAGGCCAAACCAAAGGCTAAGGCAAAAGCCAAAGCCAAGCAAACAAAGGATGAGCAGGAGGAAGGCGAAGAGGAAAACGACGAAGATGAAGAAGACGACGTCTGGAATCCTTTGGGAGACGACGACGATGACGACGAAGAGGACAATGGAGACAAGTGATGTGGCTGCCTCGGCCATAGACGAGACGACGTGGCTGCATCGGCCATACCACGGTTGCATCGGCCGTGTGGCTGCCTCGGCCATAGACGAGACGACGTGGCTGCATCGGCCATACCACGGTTGCATCGGCCGTGTGGCTGCCTCGGCCATAGGCGACGATGTGGCTGCGACATAGGCACTTCGGACCTATAGGCAGTTTTGATTGTGCCTTCCATGCGGGATCGAAAAAAAAGCTGCTTTTAATTTCCCACAAACATGACAGGTTGAAAGGTAAAAGTGTCGACTCTCTTAGGGGGATGTCCTGTTGTCAGTCGGTTTGTCTCATGTTTGCTGTACATGTTCTGAAACATAATCATTTGCGGTTTCTCGCACATTTAGGCTCTAGGCTTAAACTACATATGACCGTTTCCATGCTGATGATGATGCCGCCGCCCGAACTTCCACGATGACGTGGCAACCCCAGTGTAGTCACTAAGCCTGATGCCAAAGTCATGCAAAGGGATCTTCTCAAAAGGTTCCATGTGGAAAAGCTGTACCAGAAGTACAGGCTGCTTCAGACCAGCACATGGCCATCGGAAAGCAAGCTTGCTTCCACTATGCGGATCGAAATTGTGAGAAGAAAAGGAGTTAAGTGGATGAATGAAAAAGAAAAAACAAAGTGATGAGAAGTAGCATTTTGACTGCATCGGCCAAGCTATGGCTGCTTCGGCCAAGCTATGGCTGCTTCGGCCAAGCTATGGCTGCTTCAGCACATGGCTGCTTCAGCCTATTCGAGTCTAATTCATATGATTTCAAAATCTATGGGAACCCATCTTTAATTCACCTGTTTGTGGCTTGCACAAACCAAACTTGCTGTAGATATTTGGAATCCTCGTTTGCCCAAGAGAAAAAATGCGTGGACCGATGATTGAAGCTATTTTCTTGTTGTTGGAAGACATGACATTGTCACTGCCGGCACACACATGCATTAAAATTTGAGCACACGCAATCTGATATTTCACCCATGGAGACATTAGCACTCCTTTTGGTTTATATGCTTCCTTCTCCTTCATTCCTTTTACAAACACTTTCTTAAAAGAAGCTGTCTACTCCACTTTTTTATTTTTATTTCTCGTTTCAGTAACTTTCTCGTGTAAGTAACTTTCTCGTGTAAGGGCAATTTTTTTTGTAATACCGTAATGCCGCTAAGTGGATGCAAGTCATTCAATGACCTTTCCAAAATTAAAATACATCAATCATACTCAGGTTTCACTCGATGGCAGCAACTGCCAGGGAGTGCCAACGGAACTGTGCATGATTTTTTCACCCAAGCTCAACTTGGCAGCCTATGCACCACCCGTCGTCACAGCCTCAATGCTTACTTCTGATAAATGACATTCACAAGTATGAAATTGACAATTGACAAACAGGTTCAATATAATTTGATTCTGCATCATATGGCTTGATGGTGAACATTATGTTGCGTTTGTGTTAAAATAGCTGGTCTGGCTCAGTGCACGGACTAGCTGAACATGACAACCATTTGTCCAACTGTCTCTGACTATGTGACGCGCACGGATCACGGGACAGCATCGGATGCATCTCCGACTTCGACGCCAGCTGTGTCGGAATCAAGTGAGCTAAGTGCATCCCCCTTCCAGGACAGCAATGCAGTCGTTGTGAATTCAATTTATTTTTTTCTTCATAGTATGGAAATTAATATTGTGTTTGGTTTGATGTAGGACTTGCTTGGGTGAAGTTTCGAGTCTTGAACGTGCTTCCAGAGCGGTGCGGATGATGTGGCACATTTTGGCAAGGCATATCCCACACTATATCATCAAGGCCATCAGGATTTCTTTGAAAAAATAATTGCTTGTGTGTGTCGTTCGATTCATTCAAGTCATTAAGAATCAGATAATATATCATGGAATGTCGGTTCAATTTGAATTGCAACCAGCCTGATTCCAGGCATCACTGTTGGCGAAGGGACATACTATGAGCACATCATGCACCGGAGTGTACACAGTGGAAACGGCAGCAGCAATTGTGGAGAAGACTGTGAACCAGTCTGGATTGGTCGATGGTTTGGACGTCTACTATCAATGCAATCGATGTTTTGTTTCTTCTCAAAATTGGTTTTGGTTGGTTTTTTCTAGAATCTGAACTGACCATGGGACGTCAATCAAACAACTTGAGTTGTTTCAAGTAATTCACTGAGTTCAGCCTGAGTGAGTTCAGAGTAAGCATTATTAATAGTAATTAACACTACTACTACTAATAATAATAATAATAGTTGGAATTGATTATTATATGTAACTATTGTTTCAGAGCATGTAACATTCATTCTGAAATTAAGCAACAAGAAAAAAATCAAAACATAGCTGGTTTTTTGATTATCTGATTGTGTAAACAAATAAGAACTTACTTGATTTTCATCAATTTATTTTCAGAACTTCATATAATTACAACCTGACAGTTTCATTTAAAAACTAACCATAATAAATATATGAATGTTATGAATTAATACATTAAATGAAATTTGTCAGGTTATAAAAAAATAAACGATAAACAGCAACTACAATCAATGATTCGTGTAAGTTCCAGATGATTGGGGGCTGAATGTATTCACACATTGAATAAAATTGAAGTCTTCCATCAGTTCCAAACAAATATATATATATATAATAACAATAATTTTAATAACAATAGTAATAAAAATAATATATTAATAATAATAAAAATGCAAAATCATTCCAACCCCCGTTGTTGTTTGGTACTGGATCTGACACCCGAGGAAATCGACAGGCACTGTCGTCAGGTGATTCATGATAATCATAGATGGATCAGCCAATGGTCAGCGAAAACGTGGACAGTGCCACACGTGCATGGCGCTTTATTGGAACAACTCTCAGACGAAGACAGGACCAAACTGAAGCACCAGAGCTGTTTCAAGGAAAAGGTCAAACTGGTCCAGTCGATAACGCTCAAGGACCACCAGTACTGCTTTAGCCACGGTGACTACTGTAAAACCACTCGAGGCGACGACCTAGAGTTCTCAGGTTTGCCATGTGAAGAAAACAGTCAGGCAAACCACAACCGACGATTTATGGAAGGCCGATTTGGTGATCCGTACTGTACTTGGGCAAAGCGTCATGAGATTCTGGAAACACCATTGATGATTCTTGAAAATACACCTGATGCTTTGTGAGAAATCAATTAAATATTCTAATTTTTATATTGTTTTTATTTTTTTTGGCATGCATGGACTCTTATATGATAATGATATCTACCAAAGTTTATTTGCACAACCATTCAATCATCCAACAGTCCAACCAAGGGTATCAAGGACGAGGAAGTCAAAATGCTTTTCCCGAGCTATGAGTTGCTGAGGCTGATCATGGAGCCCAGGGATGTGGGACACCAAGGTGTTCGTCGCAAAAGGGCATTTCTGTTCCTTCGGCACAAAAAGCGGTGTGAATATTTGATGGACTTATACAATGTCTTCAACATGACTTCTCGTGGTGTTCAGCGAGCCGTATCTACTGAGCCACGAGATTATCTTGTTTCATCAAATGCGGTCCAGCAGGTTCAGAACTCGCACATGGCAAGGAAACGCAAGATCACACACCAACCAGATCCTTGCCAATGCAATAAATTGATTTTATTTTGTGTTTGATGTTCTTTATACACGACAATTCTAATATATGAGAATGATCTAAATGAATATACTTTATTTAAAAAGACGATGACGATTGAAATTTGAGATTGTTTGGAGTACATATTGACTTGTTGATAGTGTTTGTTGAATCTGTTTTGAAGTCAGACCAGTCTTAGTCTTACAATTGAATTGAGTGTGAGGTGAGTTCAGTTTGATTGCTGCATGAGCTTTATGTGAGTGGCAAATGTAATGTAATGAATTACATTCAATTTTAATGATAATGGTTCATATCAGTCAAATTGAACTCAAACTGAATTCAAAGCAGCCTCATATCACACTCAATTGTAATAAGGAAGCATAATATAAGTTTAACAAACTCCACAAAAAACACACAGTAATATGAACATGCCAAGGGAAAAACATTGAACACAACAAAAATAAAAAAGAAAACATTAAACATTTTATACAAATCATGGATATATATATATAAACAAATGCGCAAAACTGCTGCGGGAAAATTGAAATATTATACTCATTCAATACTAAAACAAATAATATAATAATATCCGAATTAAAAAAAGTGGGAAGAAATGAAAATAACATATTATAATAAAATAATTTAAAACAATAAAGGAAAACAACAAATTATTTTTTGTTATATGTTCCATTATTATTTTTTTGTTGTTTTCCTTTATTGTTTTAAATTATTTTATTATAATATGTTATTTTCATTTCTTCCCACTTTTTTAATTCGGATATTATTATATTATTTGTTTTAGTATTGAATGAGTATAATATTTCAATTTTCCCGCAGCAGTTTTGCGCATTTGTTTATATATATATTTATATATCCATGATTTGTTTAAAATGTTTAATGTTTTCTTTTTAATTTTTGTTGTGTTCAATGTTTTTCCCTTGGCATGTTCATATTGCTGTGTGTGTTTTTTTTGTGAAGTTTGTTAAACTTATATTATGCTTCCTTATTACAATTGAGTGTGATATGAGGCTGCTTTGAGTTCAGTTTGAGTTCAGTTTGACTGAAATAAACCATTATAATATATGAGAATGATCGAAATGAATACACTTTATTTAAAAAGACGATGACAATTGAAATTTGAGATTGTTTGGAGTTTTGAAGTCAGACCTATCTTAGTCTTACAATTGAATTGAGTGTGAGTTGAGTTCAGTTTGAGTGCTGCATGAGCTTTATGCGAGTGGTAAACTAAATGTAGTGAGTCACATTAAAGTTAGTTGAATTGAGTATTTAAATACATGTTTGGAAACTCTGATTTTCCATGAATGATTGCCCCAGGAGAACAACAATGTATGGTACCTGATGAATGAACGGGAGCGTCGACTTTGCCGCCAACTTGATGTAGATTATTGGAACAGATTCAAGATTGATCCGGCCAAGGATCCGAATTTTTGGAATATTTCCTTGGAGGTAGATTTGAATTTTGTCGGACGTGGTCGGCTGTATCACGTGCCATTCCAACTTTTCGAAAAAACGGTGGGCAATTTCTGTTCCGTCGTGAGATGCGTTTTTTGACGCACGTTGATAAGCTAGCCTGCCTCGGATGGCCCGTCACTGGACCCACTGCTGGATCAATGGGCACCACACCGCTCCCTGCACTTGATCCAATGAGGTCAGACATTATGGCAGGGACAGTATGCATCTCACATGTGCTGCAACTGTCCTACTGCTTGGGATGGTGTGCTTTGGATTGAAGGACTATTTTTGTAAAGAGAAATAAAGCAATGGTGACAATTGGTGAAACAAGCGTTTATAATTATTATTTTTCTAATGTGACAATCATACTATTAAATCTGTTTTTCCAGTCATTGTGGGATTCAATGTCAATGCATGTTTAATTCAACCCAATCCAAAGCATAGCAGAACCTTCTGAGTGGAGTATGAACTGTGTAAGCCATGGATCAGTTGTCGACTGCACGGGCCAAATTAATGGTTGTTTAGTGCCAATTCTAATTTTCAA